TTTATTTCTCGAATAGCAACTTCAATAGTTTTAATCACAAACAATGCAAGAAAAAGTTTTCCCAAAAATATATTAGCTCCAAAATATTTTTATTAAACATGCTCGCAATAATTGACTAAAATATTTTTTAATTCTATATACACTCAAGAGCCAAAACATTATGACCACCTGTCAATAACGAGTTGGCCCAACTTTGGCGCGCAACACAGCTTCAACCCGCCTTGGCATGGATTAATACCACCACTTAATACCACTAAATAACACTTAATACTTGTTCCGAGCCTTCCAGCCATTACAATCTGCCCTCTATCAAAGTCGCTTAGATCCGCAGCCTTTCCCATCACACACAGAAGTAAGTGAAAGAATGATTCTTCAGACTCTCCAGCAGCAGTTAAATACCACTTCCACCTGATCACGTGCCTTCCACGTCATCCAGGTGAGTTCATTGCAAAATGTAGGGGTGGTCATAATGTTTTGGCTCTTGAGTGTAGTCAATGTGATCTATTGAAAACTAGTATTTTAAACTATAAACTTGGCAATAAACTTTGGAACTTGGCTTATTTTTATTAAATATGCTTGTAATAATTCGCTAAAACATTTTTTTTAATTCTATATAGTCAATGTGATCTATTGAAAACTAGTATTTTAAACTATTAAACTTGGCTATAAACTTTGGAACTTGGCTTATGTTTGATTAAACATGCTCGTAATAATTCGCTAAAACATTTTTTAATTCTATATAGTCAATGTTATCTATTGTAAACTAGTATTTTATACTATTAAACTTGTCAAATATTTGGAACTTGGCTTATGTTTTATTAAAAATGCTCATAATAATTCACTAAAATATTTTTTAATTCTATAGAGTCAATGTCATCAATTGAAAACTAGTATTTTAAACTATTAAACTTGGCAAATATTTGGAACTTGGTTTATTTTTTATTAAACATGCTCGTAATAATTCGCTAAAACATTTTTTAATTCTATATAGTCAATGTGATCTATTGAAAACTAGTATTTTAAACTATTAAACTTGGATATAAACTTTGGAACTTGACTTTTTTTTTATTAAACATGCTCTTAATAATTCGCTAAAACATTTTTTAATTCTATATAGTCAATGTGATTTATTGAAAACTAGTATTTTAAACTATTAAACTTGGATATAAACTTTGGAACTTGGCTTTTTTTTATTAAACATGCTCGTAATAATTCGCTAAAACATTTTTTAATTCTATATAGTCAATGTTATCTATTGTAAACTAGTATTTTATACTATTAAACTTGGCAAATATTTGGAATATTTTTTATTAAAAATGTTCATAATAATTCGTAAAACATTTTTTAATTCTATATAGTCAATGTGATCTATTGAAAACTAGTATTCTAAATTATTAAACTTGGCAATAAACTTTGGAACTTGGCTTATTTTTATTAAAAATGTTCATAATAATTCGTAAAACATTTTTTAATTCTATATAGTCAATTGAAAACTAGTATTTTAAACTTTTAAACTTGACAACTTTAAAATTATTAAACTTGGCAATTTTGTGTATGGCGTCGAGCTAAAAGTTAAATACAAAATACTGATAGTATATGATTCTAAAAGACATTGATTTGCATCATAAAGTGCAACATCAGTATCTTTTAGAATCCTTGATAACAAAACAAATGTTTTTCCTTCATTTTTTTTTTCATTTTCATTGTTTTTAGAAAGAGATTGGTGACGTCTGTTACAAAACTAGCTTTGCCAGATAATAACTTATATCATATTTTTTCCCTTTCATTCGTTTTATCGGTAAGACCTTGTTTTGCATGATTGTTGAAGTTTCATTTTTATTTGACAAAGTCTTAAGTCGATTATAAGATAAAGTAGATAACAGCACGCAAATTTTTTTTCTATAAAAATGACACACCGTAAATATATAACAAAATTTTGTTTATCAAAGTAAATAAAGTGTGTTGAACTGAAACTGAGGACGTCATCTTATCTCAAAATGTCGATTGAATCAAGCTTATTTTGTAATATAATTTTTACTTAATGTACTAAATAAAATGAACTTATTAACTGGATTAATTATTTAATATAAAAATGGAATTAATATAACCAATACATTTTTTTAAATAATACTTATTTGCATTATAATTTTAAATGTTTAAAGTAAATAATGTTAGGTTTTAAATTAGAATATTTCAAATTTTATTTATAATTTTTTTTTTCAAATTTAAACCTATAAAGTAATTTTATTATCTGAAGGAATGTATACTGTGCATTTAAAATTAAAGAATAAATTCTTGTTGTTGACTAATCCTCAATGTCCTTCAGAGCGGGACGGACATCCCATGAGGGATCAACCCATGGATGGCGGGAAAGGGGCAGCTTCTGTTGTGATGGAGAACCCATAGGTAGAAGTCTGACTTTTGTTTTATACTGTTTTAAAAGATTAACGATTCATAAATGAAGACCGATAGCTTGCTCGCAGAGTGAGAAAAACTGAGCTTTTCCCCCCAAGATGTAAACTTTAAAGTAATTAATTAATAGCATGAATTAATAGAATGAGGTTAATAGGTAATAATAGGTTAATAGGTAATTCATGCTATTAATAGGTGAATTAATAGCATGGTGAATTTAGTAGCATTAAGCTTACTTTTTAATCATGCAGAGTGTCCCAGCCTCAGATTTACAATTTTTTTAAGAAAGTATAGGATTTACATAAATGACTCCGAATCACAGTGCAAATATCTGACGAATATCGTAAAATAACAGTTGATTTAACAAAGTGAAAATAGGTTAAATTAATTTATAGTTATAGAGTAAATATTGTTTGATTAAAGTTGCACTTATGTTGAGGTGTATTTTACTTATGTTGTACTTTTCATTATAAGAGCCCTGTCTGACCTATAATTGTGTTGTTTTCGTCATGAGCAAAGCAAAAAAAAAAAAAAAAAAAAAAAACTAAACTAAACTAGGGATTGTGAATTTTGATATATGAGTTTTATGTAAGACAGAGAAAATGAATCTACTTGTTTGCACAGGACTGGACTCTAATCTACAACAGTAGGGTGATTTTTGTACTTTTTACTGGAGGGCCAGAGGAAACATGTCCTGATCACACGAACTTATATTAGGGGGCTTCAGACTTATTAAATTTGTATCCTTGTTGTTGTGACTAATCCTCAATGTCCTGCAGTGCGGGACGGACATCCCCTGAGTGATCTACATATGGATGGAGGGAAAGGGGCAGCTTCTGCTGTGATGGAGCACCCGTAGGTAGAAGTCTGACTTTTGCTCCGTGACGCTAAGCCATGAGACAACTACTCATGCTTAGAGGTACTCAGAACAGTTAAAGTGCAGGATGGTCCGGGTTCGAAACACCTGACGGCATCTGTTGTCAAAATTGAATTGAGGAAACTGCCAAGTTTTCTGCCATTCGACAAAGAAATGAGAGATATTTTTTTTTATTTTCATTGTTTTAAAAAAAAGATCAGTGACGTCTGTTACAAAACTAACTTTGTCAGATAATACCTTATATCCGTTTTTTCCATTTCATTTGTTTTATCGGTTAGAGATTGTTTTGTATTTTTTTATTATATACTGAGTATTTAACTACCCCTAAAAGTCTTCCACTAAGGGCGATGCCTTTTTCATTATCACAAATCAGTAGATTATTTTTGGTTATGCACTTTTGTGTACCGACGTGCAAAAAAAAAAAAAGCTACAGTAAATTTAGAATATCAAAGAATTTGAAACACAATTAATCTTGTAGTTTAATTCTTCCTAAAATTAATATAATGAAATATCAAAAGATGTGGAATGAAATGACTGTCGATATTTATATAACTCTGTATTTAATTTCTGATCACCAAACAAGACGAGATAGTGTACTAGTAAGGAACTTCAACAAACTCATCTTGATGATACAGCATAACTCATTTACTTATGAATTATGTACATCAACATTAACTATTATTATCATTACTGACTCCGTTTCCCTATCCACTAACCCCATTCTTAATTATTTAAAAATATACGAATCTACCCAGAAATCGCAAAAGACCGCGCTATACTCTTAACATTAACAAATAAGTTCCTCCTTTCTGGAGATTTTTCGATTTCGGTTTCGCTGTCGCCTCGTTAATGTTTTTCTTTTTATTGCATTTTGTTATAGGATTTATCATCAGTGCTTATTCCTTTAATTTTTTTGCTTATGGGATGATTTATTTTTTTTTTATTCTCTTTGTATTTTTACTCTTCTTTTGTAACTAAGACTTTCTGTCTTAATTGTAATGTTTTTGTTCTCTGATGTTAGAAATTATTATTCCTCCTCTGATTTATTTAATTTTTCTTACAATTGGCGAAGGGCTCGACCACCGTTCACTGTTCACCATTCGTCAAGTGAAGGTGTGGTCGCTGCGCGACCAAGGCACTCCATCAAGTCACCAATAATATAACTATTTAACAAAGAAATATAAAATCCAACAATGAAATAAGTGCAGATGATTTTACAAACATTACCAAGACACACTCTTGGTACATCAACCTGAGCTCTCAGCTCTTTCAGATCTCCAAAATGAACTGATTGGAACTCTCCAAGTCTGTATTCCCACAATGGCGCCATAATTTGTATCTCGTCCTATACCCTTTGTCTAGGAGACTATACCCTTTGTCTGTGTTGTCTCCGTTTTAGTTCGTTGCCCCCGCGTTGCGCGTTTTAAATCGTCTTGCATAAACCGGGGCAGTTGTTCTTGTTGTTGTTGTCGTGTCCCTCACGGAAGGAGGGGAGAGGGGTGCAGCTTCTGTTCTGATGGAGCACCCGTAGGTAGAAGTCTGACTTCTGCTCCGTAATGCTCTTACAGTCATAAGAGACCAGGACCTACGGCTTAAAGTGGATTCCGACCCACTACAAACATCTATGGCACCGCCGGGACTCGAACCCGAAACCTGTGGCACAGAGCGCCAGAGCGCTAGTCACTCGGCCATTCAGGTCCCAAATTTGTGAATGTCACCCGCCCAAGTACTGACTGCGCCCAATGATGCTTGACTTCGTTGATCTAACGAGAACCGGTCTATTCAGCATGGTATGGCCGTTGGCAGTACAGTAGCGCTATACTAGAGGGTTGGAAATTAATAGCAAGTTTCGTTCTTCTGCCATCGTTTTCTACTGTCAGTACATCTCATAAAACATTATTTATTTTTATTTTTTATTCGTGAATGCAAAAATTGGCAATAGAGGGAAAACGAATAATATATTGGAATAATATAAATGCATAAAAAATTGTACACATTTATATTAGCGTCAAACATATAAAATAATTAATAGTTTTATTTATAAACATTTAGATTCATATATAATAAGTTTCTATTAATTTTAATCAGATATAAGTTTAATATTTTTTACCTAATAATTTATATCAATGCATTTTGCTAATAAATGTCTTAAACGAATAGAAAAAAAATGACCTCTTCTTCATCGATAATTAACGTAAAGAATATTTAAACAATAAAATTTAATAAAGTTTTTTTTCCAATAAAGCCGGTAATATTTTCATTAAATTTTGCTTTTACTATTTTTTTAATTTTGCTTTTACTATTTATTTCCAAATGCAACAACTATATATATAACAAATATAACAACTATATTATGCAATGTACTATTCCAAAAGCTTTAAAATAATATTGTTTTATAATCTAATTGTGAATAATTTATATTTCTTCTTTCAATGAATTTTTAAAACTGATAAGGAAAATCTATAAATGTTATTTTAAAATATGGATATTTGAAGACTTAATAAACAAATAATATTTCCTGCGATGACATAATTTTTTTATCATTGCTCCCAAATCAATACTATTTTTTTATTATTGTATTTTTATTAGGGCTCCATTATTTAACAAATTTCTATAATTGTTACAAAATTTAAACAAAAAAAAAAGCTTATCTTTATGCCATTTTATAATTTATTATTGTTTCACTGCTTGTAAGACATTTTCTAAGTTGAAATTCATATTATCAGCATTAAACACTAAATGTAATGATAAAAATCCATATTTTATTATGAAATACTGGAAAGCAAAAATATAAAAGAACACATTTCTAATTTTTTTGATGTATAGCAACCTACGACTATAATATTTTTCTAATTTTCCTTATAAGTTTCGGATTTATTTTTCCTACAATTTTTCGATGTAATAATTTTTTGAGATGAGATATTATTATTCATTCATTATGATAATTATCACCATCTATTTATATTATCTTAATATAACCATTATTATTGCAGTAATTTTTTTAAAGATAGATACAAAAACAAATTTGATCTGTAAATCTAAGCAACAATGAATTAATTTAAACTATTCAATCAATGCATTTAATGTAATTTAATAAAACAATTATTTTGGAATTTTGAAATTGGTTTAAAAGTACCATGGTTGGTTAAAAATCCCCATATTAATGTATTGAGATATCATAAGATAATCAGTTTTAACAGAATTGCTGTAAATTTAACATAAGGAATTAAATTTAAAACAACATCATTAATACACTTATATTTTTTAAATAAAAAACCAAAAATTTAAAGCAATTTAAACAAATTTTTTTAAATAAAATAAAATATATTAGCATTAATATAATTATTTAAAAAATGCCATAAAAGAGGTATTTGGATTAAAAGCTAATTGAGTAAAAAAAATTCAACAAAATATCATATTATACCCTTAAATTAATCTTATAATACCCTTAAATTAATCTTATTTATTTCCTCTAATATTATATCTCACCTGATGGTCGAGTCGAAAGCAAGGCAAGACCAATAGATATGGGCGTAGTAATTAAAGCACCCATAGTAGAGGTAAATTATGAATGTTTCCTTTCTATTGTAACGAGTTGAAATAAAAGTTGACGAAGTTTCATATCTCACTTCACACACATAAAAAAAGATAACATAATATTGATAATTCAGATAATGCCATTTTAAAAACAAATGTTGATATTCATTTTTTTTTATCTGCTGTTTATAGTTTTTTTTTCTTATTTTTTAGTATATTGTAAATGAACAAATTTTATTCATATGTATAACTCTTTACTTCTTATTATTAATATTCAATAAATTAAGTTAGTCAGTTGATCAAAACAATCAATACTTTTTATCTTTTTAATTACTCATCAACATTTTTTTTTTTCTAATGCAGCTGGCAAACATTTAGACAGCTTCGTCTCGAATGCTTTAAGGCAAGCGCTGCACAGACGTTGATCAAAACAATCAATACTTTTTATCTTTTTAATTACTCATCAACATTTTTTTTTCTTCTAATGCAGCTGGCAAACATTTAGACAGCTTCGTCTCGAATGCTTTAAGGCAAGCGCTGCACAGACGTTACTCACTTTGTATTACCCAGGGGGCGCGTGTCACTTGAAGATAAGCCACGGACGCGGAGATCCTATTAGACAGGGACCTACAATTTAAAGTGGATTCCGAACCACTACAAACATCCATGGCACCACCGGGACTTGAACCCGAAACCTGTGGTACCGAGCGCCAGAGCGCTAGCCCCTCGGCCATTCAGGCCCCTGGTTTAAATAATTCAGAGGGGATGATGTACTTGGAGAGATAGAGGAATCTGAGCAAGAACCAGGCATGATCTAAATATGAACTTTTGTCATATATTTTAAGTATTGAACTTCTGTCATATATTTTAAGCATACCACATTCAATTAACTAGTTGTGAATATTTTTCAGATTCACTTTTAATGTAATTTTAATGCCTATTTTATTTCTATATTATGAATTAATGTACATTAATAATTTCACATTAATGTATATTAATATGAAACAATTGTTTGGCTCACCATGGTCAAAATTGTCCCTTGTGCCATTAAATCCAAATCTTCCAATCAACCTTGTTAATTTCTGTTTTATAAGGTGAGTTATTTAAAATTTCAAACTTTTCATTCAGTATATTAGTATATATATTTTTTTCTTAACATAGTTTGCTAGAAATAAAAGTGTTTTAACGTAGTATAACCATAATCATCATATGCGCTAGTCTAAGATAAAAAAAAAAAAAACCAGGATGTTCAAATATTAATAAATTATTTTATTCAATATTTCAATTCACAGTTATTGTTTTTATAACACAGTGATTAACAATTTTCTAATGCTGGTATTTCTTCATCATGAATTGAACTGAAAAATTGAAATTGAATCAAAAACAGATTCGTGACACCATTTTTACTTCACCTGTCTCAAGGAATCACACCTGTCACAAGGAATAATAAGTACAATGTGTCAGTAATAAGTACAATGTGTTACTAATAAGTACAATGTGTACAAATAAGTACAATGTGTTACTAATAAGTACAATGTGTACAAATAAGTACAATGTGTCACATCGTACTCAATCTTTGATCCACCTGTCTCAATGAATCACATCACACTAATAATTTCTTGTCAGTTAAAAAAAAAATGAAGAACAAAATAAAAATGGCTTCAGTTTTTGTCATTTATAACAAATTCAAATTGCAATGCATATTATTAACATTTCTGGTGTATTATTAATAACATTTTATTCAACATCTTACTAGTATAACAATAAATTTATCAAAATTACTAAATAATCATTACATATATCAAAGTGTTTTTTATCAAATACTGAAAATTATATAATTTATTAATATTGGGAAGGAGATCACCATAAATTAGTTAAACATTCCATTTTTTTAAGTTCTGATCTATTAGTTGATAATTCACCAGGTATATCATTTTTACATCTTAAAAAAATTGAAACTTTTTTCATATTAAAATATTTCTTAATGATATGCTGTTTATATTATAATATTTCATTTAATTAAAGAAATATTATTTGGTAAAGATATGGTAACGTATGATAAAGACACGATAACGCTAATGGCCAAATCATGCATGTTTATTTAACTTGATTATATTATAAATTATTTAATTATCTTTTTTTCGTATTGAGGACACTAAATAAATATTGAGAAACGATTTATACCTTTTCTTTTACAATTATTGACAGACAATGATATAGTATGAACCAAATGTATGTAAAGATATAATCCACATGAAATAAATAATTCAATATCATCTCATAGTAATGTAATGTTAGATTGGCAAGCATTCAATTGATATATGTCTAAGAAAAAAATGAATTAATTGTTCTCGTTTAAAATAAAAACATAATTAAGAAAACATTTTGAAAAATTGAGTTCCAGATATTTGAATAATGTCGAAGTTTTTTAAATACGAAAATAAAGAATTTAATAAAGTACAAAAAACAATATATATATATATATATATATATATACACATTTAAAAAAATTTAACTTAATATTCATTTCAATTAAGTTTTAATTAATTCTCATGGATATTATAATTTATATAAAAGCGTAAACTTTTATTTAAAAAATGTTCTCGTGCATATTCTTTTATTCTGGCTGAGGAAGTCTTTGTAATATTCCTTTCTTTCCATCAAGCAATATGTAATCACCTGAAAATATAAATTAAAACGTTATTAAAGATTGAAATCAAATTCATACATCTTTACGATATAAGCCAGGGCTGACCAACCCAAATGATCTTGCGGGCCACTTTGGAAATGCATCCCATCGCCGCGGGCCGCATATAAAATTATATATCCCCCTATTAGATTTGGACCCATTATAGACATTTTTTTCGAGTGAAAAATGGAAACAAAATAAGTTATTACGATTTTTTTTACTATTATTCTTACATGTAAACAAAGATAATATAATAATAATGACACTAAACGCACATTGCAAAGAAATATAGAACACTAAAAATGAAATATAAGAAATATATAAATATAAACGAAATAAAAAAAAAACTGAAGTCATAAAAAAATAAATTTTTTTCTAGTGCGATATTTGTTTCTTCACTCTTTCACTTAGCTTTTGCAAATCGATCTCCATTTGGGTATTTGCACATAGTAATGTTTGTTGCAGGTTAGTGTCCGTTATGTTTGAGCGTGTTTTGTGTTTGGCCACTTTCATTTTCGAAAAATACGATTCGCAGGATTAAGTTGAACCAAAAGCGCTAACAATTTCAAATGAGA